CAGGTTTCTTACATTTGTATAATTTTGTTTATGGACAATGTTTTAAAAGCATAAGAACAACTCTTTGTTCTCACTGAAAACTGCAACCGTACGATGAACGATCATCAGACTTCAATAGTAAAGCGAAGAACGATCATCAGACTTCAATAGTAAAGCTATGAACGATCATAAGACTTCAATAGCAAAGCGACGAATGATCAGACTTCAATAATAAAGCAAAGGACGATCATCAGACTTCGATACTAAAACAATGAACGATCATCAGGCTTCAATTGTAAAGCTATGAACGATCATCATACTTCAATAGTAATGCGATGAATGATCAGACTTCAATAGTAATGTGCTGAATGATCAGACTTCAATAGTAATGTGCTGAATATCAGACTTCAATAGTAATGCGCTGAATGATCAGACTTCAATAGTAATGCGCTGAATGATCAGACTTCAATAGTAATGCGCTGAATGATCAGACTTCAATAGTAATGCGCTGAATGATCAGACTTCAATAGTAATGCGCTGAATGATCAGACTTCAGTAGTAATGTGCTGAATGATCAGACTTCAGTAGTAATGTGCTGAATGATCATCAGACTTCAATAGTAATGCACTGAATGATCATCAGACTTCAATAGTAATGTGCTGAATGATCATCAGACTTTAATAGTAATGTGCTGAATGATCATCAGACTTCAATAGTATGATGAATGATCATCTTCAAACAAAGTCAAACAGAAGTATGAAACCCATGTTTCAAGTTGCATCTAGTTTTGCATGGAAATAAATCATTATGGAAACTTTAGTTATGTATTTAATTTTATTAACATAAATTATTACTTAAGCAATTATCTGTACCTATAGCCTGTATTTCAATATTTTTTGCATCTAGTGGTTACACCAGAGTATACTACACTGAGAAACGTACATCTTAGCTAAAGATGCACTAAACATATGCCCGTCTAAATAATATGGTTCCAAGCCTTACATAATTCATTTATAAATAATTTGTATGCAATAAACAATGAGAAAAAGAACAATTATTAAAATATTTTTTTTATTTGAAAAATTCACATTTAAACTTTAAGTACACTGAAATGTATAAACAAGGCAATAAAATACAAAAATTAACTATTAAAATAACAGGCAATTAATTTTATGAGTGGAAAATTTAATTATTTTTATTAACATTACAACTAAGTTTTAAATGTACATTATTGAAGTACCTTATTTAAAATGTTTAATAGATACAGGTTAATGCTACATTATAAATTCCCTGCTCCTTAACCTGGGTATATTTACAGATATTCACAAAAGCAAACACAATAGAATAAACACTTATTTAAACTAGTCTATCAGTTTAAATTTGAAGCTTACATAATCAACTCGGTCCTCTGCCAGCCAATGAAAACACTTCAAGAAAAGTAAAACAGTAAAAAGAGCCACAAACTTAGGACTGAAATCATCTCTGAAAACTGTAAACGCCAAACACGTTTCTGTAACTGCATACCAGGACCTTTCTATCAAGTGCTACAAATTAAAGACATAAGGGTCTGTTATTGAACAATGTGACTTTAGAAAAATGTAATTTACATTTCTAAACATACAGCAAAAGATTATGTTGTTCTAGAAAGTAAAATTCAACTAACCAAGTAGCAAGACATTAGGTTGTTCTAGAAAGTAAAACTGAAATAAAAAAGAGCAAAAGATTAGGTTGTTCTATAAAGTCAAACTCAACTATACAAGCAAAACATTAAGCTTTTCTGGAAAGTATATCTCAACTAAACAAGTAGCAAAAGATTAGATTGTTCTAGAAAGTATATCTCAACTAAACAACAACAAATATCACTATTATATAAAGTAAAACTCAACTAAACAAGTAGCAAAACATTAAGCTGTTCTAGAATGTATAGAACAACAATACAACAGCAAACATCACTATTATATAAAGTAAAACTCAATTAAATGAATAGGAAAATATTAGGCTGTTCTAGAATGTAAAACTCAACTAAAGAAGCAGCAAAACATTAGACTTTTTAGAAAGTAAAAAATCAAATGCCCAATAAACATCACACTGTTATAGAAACAAAGCTAATATACATTGGGTGGATTTAATTAAATAGGTTTCCAACAAAATTATTCTTTAAATAATTCTGAAAACAACTAATATCTTTTTTTCAGAAATCATGATCACAATGCAAATATTGGTACAGAACCATTTAAATAAAAGAACTTACATGAACGATTTATTCTTAAAAATTGGAGTTTAATCAACAGTATTTGGCATGTATTTACAAAGTTTGTTCCACTAGCTTGCTGAAATTCTTTACAAAAGTTCTGTTTTTCGGGTTATGGTGGATGTTAAATACATTCACTTTTAAAAAGCTATACAAAAAGTAGTAAACTTGAAAACTTTTTATTACTTTAATGAGAGAGATGTAAAGGGATATTAATGAGATAATGATCGATAATGGTTCCTTCTGAAGAAGATATTCACATGAATGTTACTTTGACTTACAATTTTAACAGGCTTATCATGTGGAGCTGGGGGGGGGGAAATAGAAAAAAAGGTTTCAGTGTGAAAACTGTGAAGACTTGCATATAATCTGGCTGATGTGACTACCCATCTATTTTATTGGGTTCTGTCTCACAATATCCAAGTTCTGAGACTAAGATTATCACTACTTGATATAAGACTGGTTATATCTCGTGAAAAATAATGTTGTGGTCTCCAATTTATAGGAATGAAAACCTTTTAATCATTCACTTAAAACAGAAAGTTTGGTACTTATAATTAGAAACAAAATATACAAGTTGAAAAAATAAGACATTCAAAAGATCTTCACTTTAGCTTGAGATCTTACAAAAAAATAGGAAAACAATCAGATCTTACCTCCATTTCAGCCGCACGCAACTGTCCGAAGAATAGTTTTCGTGTTATTTTTCCCATCATCAAAACCATCACAAACGCTTGTAAATAAATAACCTGTAACAACCAGTGTTATTTTCAAACTCATTAAGTACAAGGTAAGTCAAAACCTGGCAACGACGGAAGAAATTTCTATTCTACTTCTAAATACTAAGTGTTGCTTTTGATAGTTTATGTAGTCAGGACACAGACATTCAAACATTATTACTTTCATACCTACATTCACAGTACGATAACACTCAAGCTCTTGACATACAGCAAAAGAAACTTCTTAAAAAATATAATCCTATTGCTAAAGAAATTAAGAAAACAAATGCATAAAATAAGTTAGAAATTACACGTTACACAGTTCTGGTTATTAGCACAACTAAAAAGCTATTGTAACTTTTAGTTTGATAAGTTAGTTGCAACAAAATATCATATATCAACTAATAATATACAGTATCTATATAATGATACAACTGAAAGTAAGATACAATAACTGAAAACAGTACACAAATCAGTGGCATAGTGAGGGGGTTCAGGAGGGAGGCATTTGCCCCCAGGTGCCAGGTTCAGGGGGTACCAAATTAACAACCAGCTTATCCAGAACTTAGCTGCTCCCATAAGTGTAAGGCTCATTATAATGTTTTTGTTATGCTTGACATCAAATATTAGCATGTCATCAGAAATACCATACCTAGAGAAATCAGTTGTTTTTCAGTGTTAAATTAATTGAAATACACTGACATCTCATAGTTGATAGGATATTTAGCAATTTTTTGAACACCTGACAATTTGAGACTGTATTTTTCAAGCTGCCAATGTATTTTTGACTACCCAAATAATTCTATTTCCGATTTATTTGTCCTATAATAATACCAATCAGAGGAGTCGTGGCACATTTTTATGTTAATGTAGAGAATAATATGTAACACTTGAGTGCATGGTCAATGAACTGAAATGTTATAAAGATCCTGGTTTCCCTATGTCTAGGTAAGTAACACTAATATGTTACATCATATCGAAGCATCAAACAGTCAAAACAAAAGGTGATAAACCAATGAAAATCATTAACTAAATAATGTCACATGAAAAATACCCCCATTCACCATAAAATCCCTTTCCCTGGGATTAAGTGCTTTCCTGCACTCTGTGCCGCTATTCCTTATTCGAGGCCCGGCATGGCCAGGTGATTAGGGTGCTCGACTCGTAATCTGTGGGTTCAAATCCCCGTCACACCAAACATGCTCGCCCCTTCAGCCATGGGGGCGTTATAATGTGATGGTCAATCCCACTATTCATTGGTAAAAGAGTAGCCCAAGAGTTGGCAGTGGGTGGTGATAACTAGCTGCCTTCCCTCTAGTATTACACTGCTAAATTAGGGATGGCTAGCGCAGATAGCCCTCATGTAGCTTTGCACAAAATTCAAAACAAACAAACAATCCTTATTCAACCAACAGTTGTCTTTCAAAGACCAGGTAATCATGACAATATGGTGAGATACAATACCATGGTAGATAGGGTTGCCATGCATGGTTAGAAGCTAGGAAGTAAGAGCATAAAAAGCTGGTAGAGTTAAGATTTTTTTTTGGGGGGTGCCAAATTATGTTGTGCCCCTGGGCACCAGACACCCTCACTATGCCACTGGCACAAATAAATTTATAAACAAAATTTTTTTTTTTTGTTTCTGGCATTCGATATCAAACAGTTTATATTATAGTCTATAGCACACAAAAAAACAGTTACATTAGAATTTAGATACTTACAGCCATACTAGGATTTGACTTTGTTATATAAACCACTGACGGATAGAACTGCTTCTTCTGATAATAAGCATTTCCTACTACTGCCACAGTCAGTAGCATACTTCCAAGTGTTAACAGCATACCTCTCATTTTTTGTTTTTATAGAATTAATTTAATAACACACTTGAGAAGTTGAAACTGAAAGATTAACACTTTCAAACATAAACAAGAATTATTCAATATCGTATTCCTATTACTAATAGTGATACTACTAGTACTAGTACAACTAGTATTATTATTAGTAATTGTAGTTTATACCTATCGTTACTTTTGAAAATTTGCCTTTTTTAATAATCAACTTTCATATGTTTTTGGTTAGTATTAAAATTTATTTTGGTACTGGTTTGTACGGTAAAACACTGGCAATTTATTGCACTCACTGATACTATATTTAATAATAATACGCCTAACAACAAACTAGTAGTACTAGTAAGGCCTACTGACTGTAGTATTACTATTATACGTTTTACAGTTACACATCGCTGTCACAGTGCCACTGCACTGCCTTCGGTTGGTCTGTGTTATTCCGTCTCTGGTCCTTCTTACTAATGCGTAAAACTTGTCGTCGTGCGCTCAGTATTATCTAATATTAAGCCACCTAAATTTGTACATGAGAAAGTTATTCAAAAATTGCAAAATGTTACGTTAATTTAATAGCTTAAAACCAATCGGGAAAACTAAGAAGAAAAACTTATTACTTAGCAGGTACTAACTAAACACTTAAATCGACCACCATCATAATCCCTCTTCCAGTATTATATTTACAAGTTTATTTTCTTGACACACGCGGCAGCAGCGGGTAATATTTTTCATACTCGTGTTCCAATTCGATTGGATATAAATTTGTGTACATTCATAAGTAAACAAATTTTAATATACTTAATTGAGCGATTGGGGAATTTTGCAGATTGTATGTGTTGTTTTTTTCTTTGTTTTTTTTTCTTTTGCGCCAACTGCACCTGAAGTTTCACTTTATTACCAATCAAGCTAATTTCTGAATAAGTACTAAGCATATTGTGCAAACGTTTCATTATTTGACAAAATTCATAATCGGATATAATCATGAAGAATTCACAAATTATTTATATTTTCGTTTCATGTAATTCTAGTAGTATATTGAGTAAGATAAGTTCATGGTGTTAGGAAAACACGTAGGCTCATTAGTTTTCCACTTAATATTAACTGAGATACTCCAATTTAGATTAGTTGTGTCTTGCGTGTCTTTTTGACGTCGAGATTGAAATGCTCAATTTGAAAGACACTTTAAGCACAAGTAGGCTAAACGGCTAGGAAAGGGTCGCTTAGGGTTTAGGTATTGCTGTCGCTAATTTCGAACTAGTAAGCAGAGGGAAGACAACCAGCCAGCAGCACCTGTCGCCACAAGGGCTTTGTTCAACTCTTTGAATGAAATAAAAAAAATTACTGTCACCTTCATAATACACCTACGGCTGAAAATATATAATATTGTTACAACAGCGAAAGTCACGTGACGCTGCTGGTGCGTTTGGCGCTGTAGCGTGCGTGATGTTTCTCGAATGATCGGGGAAGTCCGAGATGCCCTCTTCGTTAGTATATAAGCCTGGCAAAAAAAGCCAGCAGGGTTAATGAAGAGAGAGCAGTAGTTACTTTGAGTTCCGTGTAATTTATGATTCTGTTAGTTTCGAGCTAGTGAGCCGTAAAGTGTGTGTTTTGCACTCGTCAAGAGCGAAGTTATCGAGATTGTGAATCGCTATGATTTATAGCGTGTATTATAAAAGTTGTTAAGTTTAAAGTGACGAGAAACGTACTGATTATGGAATTACTTTGTACTAAAAGTTTGTATCGAGGAAGAATAAATTGGTTTAATCACGAAAAGACTAATATCGCTGAAGATCCTCGGGAAGAATTTCTACCTGAAACAAACAAACAAGCAGATATGTGACAAATTGGTATCAGAGAGTGGGACGGAAAAGAAAAAGATAAAAACGAGAAATGGCAAATCAAACTACAACTTAGCAGATTTGATGCCAGCAATACAAGAACAGCGAAAGAAACAATATGAACGAGAAAAGAAACAAGAAAAGAGTTTACAGCAGCTGTTAGGAGGAAAAAGAAAAGAAACAAGAAAAACGAGAAAAGAAACAAGAAGAAAGACTACAGCAGTGGTAGGAGGCGAAAGAAAAGAAACAAGAAGAAAGACTACAGTAGTGGTTGGAGGAGAAAGAAAAGAAACAAGAAGAGAGACAATAGCAGTGGTTGGAGGAGAAAGAAAATGAACAAGAAGAGAGACTACAGCAGTGGTTGGAAGAGAAAGAAAATAAACAAGAAGAGAGACTACAACAGTGGCAAGAAGAACAAGGAGAGAGGGTACAACATCAGCATGAAGTACAAATGGAAAAGATTAGTACATTTCAAAGTGAATTAAATACATTAAAGGACGATTTACTATCTTTTACACAGGAAGGATATATTAGCCATGGACATAATTAGCCCCAGACAACAGGAAGTTCCTTCCAGAACCTGCAGCTAAACCCTAATGCAGACATCTTCAGTCCTGTCAGAAGTCACATTCCAGATATGAGTGTCAGCAATAGGGGTGATCTAGTATGAAGGAAGCCATAGGAATTCGATGGGAAGCATAAGAGCACAATTTGACCTCCTGGCAGAAATGAATGGATGGACAGAAAGCAGTGTACTTGGCAACGAGCCTGAAGGGACAACCACTGGAAATACTTGGACAGTTGTCAGCAGACAACAGGCACAACTATAGAGCACTGGTAGCTGCTCTAGAAATCAGGTATAGAACTCAAAAGATGAAGATTAAGAAAATTGATATTTTGGTTATAAATAGTATATCCATGTCTATATATTAATGTAAGTTACTAGATTCATTACGTCATCGTGAAATTTCCAGGTATTCTAGGACCACATTTCTGAATGTATTCTAGCAAACATCTAAATTACAACAATGAAAGTATAGCTTACAAAAATATGTTTTCAATGCTTTAGTTATATGGAAATTTTAAAACTTCTTCCTGTAATTAGTTTGTATGCAACTTTAGCATAAACACATTGTACAGAAAGTCGTTGAGATGCCTTGTTCTAGTTGCTTTGTTTTTTTTTCTCCGAAACTATAGTACATTATTAGGACCTTTGCTCTTTTTTATTTTCTTCAGTGACATAGATGAAGGAATGGCCAATAAATTGCTTAAATTTGTAGATGATATTAAAGTCTTGGGTTTTGCTAGCTGTAAAGAGGATGCGACTGACTTACATAATGATTTAGATCATTTAATGAGTTGGGCAGATAAATGGCAGATGGGTTT